TTATGTAACAAAAGTCCTTATCTATTAATAATTGTAGACATTTTGAAAGGTGAAATTAATATCTCGATGAACAACAGAAACAATGCTTTTTCATTGTTCATTCTCATCATAACGTTTATGTCTAAACAGTTAACATCTGTGACTGTGCATTTTAAAAATGTGTGTGTAAGTCTTTGATATGACTCTGCCGGAGATCGAATCTGAGGCAGACGATCTAAACACTAGGCCACAGGAGCGGTCTTTAATCGTTCACGCCCTGACTACACAAACAATGCCAAATGTATGGATAAATGGAAGTTTTCCAGCGTAGTTGGCCCAATAATCAGAATCGTCTCTCCTTCTGATTCGTTGATTATAACATTTTAGGGGTATATTTCTCTTCTGGCAATAATATAATTATAATCCAACAGTCCAACATATGTTTGAAATGTTTATTTTGCACACCAAATCGAGCTAATTCTTTTTATGCGAATGCATTAGGAATAAACTACGATAAATCAAGAATATGTTAACAAAATGGCAGATAAACATTATCAAAATCGTCGGCATCATAGAAACCCAATCCTCGGACCCATGGTTAAAAATGGAACTTTTTCGACTCAAACAAGCGGGTCAGACTGCTACAAGAATACTTCGCTTCAAGATATGAATTGTTTTCTACGGTTGCAGAGATGACGTATTATGGCCCATATAACAGGAGGTTTCATAAGAAGATAATTATCCAGGATATTTAAACTACGACCTTATCTGTTGGACCATCGTGCCACTCTTCATAACTTTTCATAGCTGCCATACTCAGCCACTCTCGTTTACTTATTTATCGTTTAATTTCCACAGTAATCAGTATTGATGCTATCTGTTGAGCATATTTTGCCACTGATTAGCATTGTCAGCAATTATAATGAAATCGTCTGCACTCAACAGTAAAATGGGTATAGTGTGCCAGTTTGTAGTGAAGTGAGAGAACACAATAAAGAAGTGAGGGAACATGTTATTTCTCAGATGCGGGCAATAAAAAGTTAAAAGAACGGCGTTATCATGCGTTCCCACAGCACTACACCCTTTAATGTTCTACACAATCTTCCTTATTTCCTTCTACAAATAAGATATTTCTATCCTTCAAAAGAAAAGATCGAAGGCAATGAAACATAACATTGGTTTACTGCCTCATGGCAATTAAGGACAACGGGAAAATAATTGTTGGACATAGCACATGCTTTACATCATTACAAATTGGTTTTTTAATTCCTCACATTTTTTTCATTTATACTTTCGCTAACAAACTTTTGGTACAGAAAATTCATTTCCATCCTTCACCAAAGTCCATTTATACTGCACTTAATCTACTCCTGTGTTTTCTTCAAAATTTTATAGATTAATGTACATAATGTAATCGCACGCTATTCTGTAAAATAAAACTCTCTATAATCGGATTATTCTATGCTAAGTAATTCATCTTCTTCCACACATTAATTTATCCTATTAATTAAAATCGATGTAAATACTTTGCTAAATTATAGGTAGTAAACTAATGCCTCTAATGAACCGCTTTATTGTTAAAATGATAGCAGCTGACGAATATACTGCATAATATACAATATCGATTAGTTTATTAAATACCATTGTTAATCTTAGTGCACGTGTATTCATATGCATATCAAGAAATCGTTATTAGATAAAGCATATGCTCATTTAGCTTTGCCATTCTTCTGTCAGCTCAATGTTTGTCCTCTTTAAAAATTATTCTATCTTGCATGTCATGAACTATGTTAATATTTTCAATTTCCTGCAGCATTTTCAACTGTGCAAGACAAATTAATTATATTCTGAAAAAAAAATATTCATGCATTGCTCCAGAAGTGATACTGAATAATGAATAATGCAATTCTTTAGTAGGCGCTCAATAAACTCTGTTTTAGGGTATAACGTAGAGGGAAAGCTAATTTTGTTCTAATTCATATTGATTTTATCCGGATTTGCTTTTGGTAGATATACAATCTCTGTTGTACTAAGACTGACCCTGAGAAAGCTTACTTGGAAATGTCGCAGATTTTTATCCGTTGTCAATGGGTTTTCTGCGTTATGGTAAATACGTGTAATTATTTCGGCGCATTCATCGAGTTTGTTATAATTAATATAAATAAAAATCGCATATACATTTCAAGATAAGATATTATTAAAGATTTTGGATAAATGACAGACCTTCTTTGTTCTGTATATATTTATCTACTACTTTACCCTCAGAGTCAGATACAACTGTTCTAATTTGCCCATGTAATCAATGAAAAATACAATGAGCATATGTGTAGATTCCAATCTGTCATCTATCACAAAAAACGATATACATTTTAAAACACAATCGTCAGCTAAAACATAGTATATTGCTGAAACTCAGTCACCATCGATGCATGTAAATTTCGCGAAACTTTTTTCTGATCCCCATCTACCATTCACGATGCCTAGCCTAGTTAGATGACACAGGCGAAAATATTTCTCCTTATGATCTGTTTTTCTTACGTCTTTATTAGCCCGAACAAACTTGTCTTCGTCTTATATATAATTAACTTCTTGAACAAAGTCTATAACACTCTGAATCAATATAAGTATAGTCACTAAAGTCAACTGTAATTATAATTTTATAGAGAGTATCCTTCGTTTTCACTAAAGCTATTTTATTTTCTACAACTATATAGGCGTCTTCTACAGAATAAAAAAGGGGTATTCAGGTGACATGTAGATAAAACCCATACTTAGTTCCATATTAACAGTCTTGCCTTAGATTATAAAACTTGTCAAACTAATGTTTTAAGACGTGTTTCTCTAGATATTCTTTTCGGATTCAGGAACAAACACAGCCATCCCACCTTAATATATTTTACCTATTTGTCTTAGCAGGTCAAAAAAATTTATAAATTATATTCTATTCACCTTGAATTCAATTTAAGAAAATCTATCATATAATATTTCATGGATTTCTCTGCATCCTTACATTTCTATTGCATTTTTTTTTCAAGAACATTAAAAGCACTAAATTTTCTCTCCAGGAATGAACTTTCTGTAATTCCAGTTTATACACATCAGCCAGCACATCCATAAAAAATCAGTAACGTAACTTCTCATCACTCTCGTATGATCATCGCATGAATCCAATCCGACGAATTTACCTTTATTGTCACCATTACGGTCATAAACCCTGGATAAGTGAATCATTTGAGGAAGTAGCCCATTTGTACTAGCTTCTACTCTGCAGTAAATATGAGTTAGAGTCTAAAAATCGTTCCGAACACGGCGCAGAATCTGTTTTCTTTTAATACTATGGAAATTTCTTCACTATCATTTTCTATTATGAAAAAAACAAACCTCAGTATAACAGATGATCCTACCAAGTGGCAACCTTTAGAAGATCTATCAAACACATCATTTTTAATATGCCGGGTCCATCATCAGTCTAGGCTCTAATGGTGGCGCTCACCAGTTATTATGTACTTTTGAGAGAGTGATGTATGTAAGGTGAAGTTGTTTGCATTTTAAACATGCACAGTGCAGAGAATGTTGGCATACCTATATACTACTTTCATGTAATGTAGATGAAATTTCTTTGGATATTGTACTTTTGGAAATTTTAAATGATCTTGGGACACTGCTAACTAAAATGACTGCTCCCTTGTGCTCCAAAAATCAACCTAAATTTGTCTAAAGTACACTATTCTTGGCAGCTATTAAAATATGGAAAATGAATTTTGCCAAACTAGATAATACCAGCTTCTAAAAGTGCAATGACTGAATTACCAAATACATAAAATGTAAAAAAAGTTATCGGCTCTTTTTTTTACAATTTACCTCTGAAGTTGGAGAAGTGAAAATGAGCAAGTAGAGCTAGCACGTTTTTGAAAGGTGCACATCTGGAGTAAGGCCAAGCTGTATATTCTCTAACCCATATTACACCCATCAATCATACATCAAAATAAAGGGAATTAAAGGTTCTTTGAACAACACCTAAGATATACAAAGTCTCTTTTAAATAACCAGTATAACTAGTGAGGCAACCCGGGGAAACTCTTTTTCTTTAAAATTTTAACCCTATGCTAAATACGAAACTGTAGAGCGCCACCAATATTTGAATATGATGACGTCATCAACCGTTATTTGTACTATCAGAACTTTAACTACAGATTTCTGTCCTGGAAATTGATACAAAAATTATAAAACGATGCAACCTGAAATAAAAAATAAACAAATCATTTTATCTTGTAAAATTAGATTAATGACGTTATTTAGCCCGTGGTAGAAGTGGGCTACTTCCTCAAATGGTTCACTTTTCCAGGGTTTGTGACCGTAATGGTGAATATAAAGGTTAATTCACCAGATTGGATTCATGTGATGGTCGTCCAAGTGATGAGAAGGTACGTTACTGTTTTTTTTTTCTTTAATGGATATGTGTAGTTTTTCAGTCTTCGTGCGATTCTGAAGGGATAAAAGACGCGTGAGAAAATTCGAATCGAGCGGAGTGTTGTGGTCGAGTTGCATTCCTTGTATTATTTTATATTACCCTTAAGGTGATTTAATGTAGTCAGAAATTTCGTCGTGCTTTATTGATAAAACTCCAGACTAATATGGTTATATGTACTATACTTGTATCTTATCCACTGAATAAAATCACTTCTAATAGAAACGATGTCTTTTATTAACGCACCATAACATCTTTCTGTACTACACAAAGTATGGATATATATTTTGGGTCAGTGGTCTGTATTGCAAAAAAGCATTATAATAATAATAATAATAATAATAATAATAATAATAATAATAATAATAATAATAATAATAATAATAATTATTATTATTATTATTATTATTATTATTATTATTATTATTATTATTATTATTAACTAAAAATTTCTGTAAAAATATAAGACCATTTAACAACAGCAAAAACAGCAAGAACAAAAACACTACTACTACTACTACTACTACTACTACTACTACTACTACTACTAACTGCTTTGGTGGCCTAGTAGTTAGAGCGTCCGCTTTGGATGCGGGAGGTCGTGGGATATATCCCCAGTCGAGCCATACCAAAGACTTACAAAAATGGTACTAACAGCTTCCACGCTTGGGGATCAGCATTAATAGATTAGTGTTAGGACTGGTCGGCCCGGTGTCAGGATAATGTGACTGAGTGGGACATCGTGCTACATGTCTGCGGCACGATGCCCAGGTGTTAGACCATCCCTATAAACTGCCACACTGCAGACATCGTAGCGATATGACTGAAAACTAGTTAAAGCTATGTTAAAAATCATAATCACATCACCACTGCTGCTGGTACTACTACTACTACTACTACTACTACTACTACTACTACTACTACTACTACTACTACTACTACTCCGACTACTACTACTACTACTACTACGACTACTACTACTACTACTACGACTACTACTACTACTACTACTACTAATAATAATAATAATAATGATAATAATAATAATAATAATAATAATAATAATAATAATAATAATAATAATTAATAATTAATAATAATAATAATAATGATAATAATAATAATAATAATAATAATAATAATAATAATAATAATAATAATAATAATCTTTTTGAACTTGGACGTCAAGACGCAAAAGTTGTGAAAGCAATGGGGAAAAAAAGCAATTTCTCTACTTCAAGAAATAGCCAATTATTTTACTAGTTCTGAACAAAGACGTGCATTTAATCAATCAAAGATGGAAATCAACAGATACGTCTTCGGGAGAGTAATTTGAATGACATTTCACCGCAAATTTGCATGCTCGAAATGCTTGGTATGTCGAAATTTGGAAATCTTTTTGCTGCCTGTACTGATTTCTCTGTGGTAATATTGACACATTCTTCTCAGATTTCTAACTGAATCTCTGATAACTACGCTGATTAAACGGTATACCCCAATAGAAAGTGCATTCTGTCATTGATTGATTGCTGAAGTACTGATCAAACCCTTCGTGCACTTGTAGCAGATAAATATTTTTTTAACTCTAGGAATGAAAATATTTTTATCTTTGTTAGCACAGTCGATAGCTCTCGGATTTTGTTAGATATTTTTCATAATTAGTTAATATTACAGTCCACTGCCTTTTATAAAAAATGAGAATAATAAAGTGCACAAAATGTCAACGCATGTAGGACAACTCAGTCGCGGAAGTTTCGTGTGTGTGAGTATGTTTACGTATATGTGTGTTTTTTCAGCCGCACAAAGTATGTAATAAGAACAAACTCACTTTACTTCCATCTAGTTTCAGCTGAATTTGCAATGTCGTATTTTTACCACTCAGCTAAGTTAATATAATACCAATAAATCGTCCTTATTTCTTTATTTCCTTTACCGCAGTTATCCAAATATACCAGAGCTTTAAGTAATTCAATTAACCCCTTTACTAAATGAACTTTCTCTTTAATCTTTAATATTCCTTGCTTCAAATCCAAAATCTTGATGAGCAGTCTTTAACTCTTGTTGATTTTGGATCTTGGTTCCCATCACATGTCAACAATAGGCTGCCTTCTACTCCAAACTCCGTTCAAAACATACTCATAATAATATTATTATGGTAATTATGATTATTATAATATTTTAATGAAAGAATGTGTATACTGATAATGTATTTGACGAAGAAATTAAAGTATGTACCATATCATTGATTCCTATTTTGTTCCATCTCTTCCTTAACTTGTTTGTGATGATTGTTTTGTAGATTTTAGAATATTAATAAATTCCTTTTGAAAAAAAAAATACTTGTATTACTTACATATCATATTCTATAAAGAATGAGACTCCGACTATACAATTAATATGTTAGCCCATGCGATATAAATTAAAACAAAGATTAGGCACAGGTTTCGCGAGAAATTAATTCAACAGCCGATCCATATTTAATTATTATCTATTAATATAACCAACTATTACTACCATCATGCGTTTAATTTCTTAAACCGATGACGATAAGAACTAACGTGAAACCAAATATACATCACATGACTATAGTTCAAAAAATGACATACCTGTTTGTTTGATTCACTTCTATTCTCTGTTTCTCGTTTGCTGTTCAATGCAAGGGTACTGAAGCATACATCTTGTTGCTTTCATGATTTTAGATAAAATACTTTTCTATGCTAGCTATTATTATAGTGGAACTCAGCAATGGCTTAATTTCATCTATTCGCTGGAAGACAAAAAATAGAACAATAACGAAACGAAGACGTGAAATATCTATGTATGACTTGTAATGTAACTATTTCGAGGCTATGGATTCAGCGCATCTATGCTGTTTGACTTTTGGAGCTATGTTCGATAAAAAACGACAATTTGTCACATAGGGATGAAGCCAAGATGGCTTTATTAAACATTTGGTAACTCCGTGGATGCAGATTTTAAAGACTGGAGTTTCTTGCATCAACAAACACTGCTGCATTGGTTTTCCTGTCATCACCATTAAAAGGCTACTACTATCCCATCCGCTTGTAAAATTGATCGCTAATATTATCAGTAGTATTTTTATTATCAACCCCAACGTAGTAGTAGTAGTAGTAGTAGTAGTAGTAGTAGTAGTAGTAGTAGTAGTAGTAGTAGTGGTAGCAGAAGGCCTAGTAGTAGTATTTGTAGCGATCTCTTCTGATAGGTAAAGAAACATTTGTATTCATAACGATCTTGTCTCTTTGTTTCCAGCAACATGACTAATTTCCTCAGGCTAAAAAAAATTCCACAGTGTTTACGACATTCTTTTAAAAACTGTTTATCTCCTTGCTTTCTTAAAGAATATTCGATGTTTTCCAGCATAAACATTTGTATATTCTTGGGAAGGAAATATTATCGGAAACAAAATTCGGCGTTCTTACAAAAGCGACAAATATTTAAATGTGTATACATAAAGCCAATTATAGATGTTGGTCAAGGGAAAGTGTCTCACAAGTCTGACATCGTCAGAATAAATAATCCGCCACAACGGCTTTTAATACATCGACATCAACCTTGACATTTGACATTTTGATCCGTACTCTCAAAAGTTATATTTTAAAACTCAGTTAACGGAGGTGCAAAATCGGTGGGCAAAACAGGTCAAAACTATTTGTTGGCAAAGAAGCAATATACAATAACGGAACACAAACTCAGAGGGAGCAAACTTGTAAGGTCTTTATATAATACACAAATGATATGATCATGGCTGGGGGAAGGTGATTTTAATTGTCTGGGAAGCAGGGTTGAGACATTATCCAGTCAAATTCTGCATACATTAATACATACTTTTTAGTGTGACATTTTGGTTTAAAAAAAAAAACAAAAAAAAAATCGGAGGTGTATTCAAGACATTTCGTGACCGTTACCAGATAAAAGAAATAACTACACCTACCTGTTGTTGATGCAGAATGATTATGGTGACGACATTTAGAACAAGCGGAGGCTAACTCACAATCTCGACATTTTAACATGAAACCAGATTTATAACCGCCTTGCCAGAGAATGAAATGAAATAAAACAGAATCAAAACAAACATGAAATCATTATGTAGGTAAACATACTTTGGCAGATAAAAACAATCGCATAATTACACAAGACGTAGAAACATAATTGTATGAAACAAAGCATAGTCCTCATACAGGGATTAGTTTACTCCAACGTTATAGTGTCGGCCTAAAATATTCTAAACTAAGATAACCATCTTTGAAGTTAGAGGAATTATGGGACAAATGTTACAGCCAATAAATGATAAGGGAAGAACTACCACAATTAATGGCAACGAGATACATACCAAATGAATCACGTCTTCAAGGAAAATAATATTTCATATGATCGGTTTAATCCTATAACTGGACTACGGTTTTAAACCTGGAGTAATCTAAAGACAATATGCCCGGCTGCGTCTGTTTTGTAAGACCCATGCCACTCTCCCTCATTATCAGACCTGAAGAAAATATAACAGAGCTTGATTTCCCCTCCACTAATAACATTCAGTTTTCAAAGGAGAAATCCGTTGTTATTGATTGGAAAAAATGTCTACCTCACTCTCGAGCTGAAAGGTTTAACCATTTCAAAGACAAGATAAAAAATAAAGTATCCTACACTACACGACATATGTTCAAGGTGTAACTATTCGCCTGTTCATTAACCTTATTGATGAGTCAGGTGACGTACACCAAAATCATTCAGCATAAGCAGGCATGAAATAAAACATTCTTCTACTTAATTAGAAACTATGACTGCAAATGGCTTTTTCATGTTACTGCAAAACAATATTTCACGCATAGCTGCTGCCATCTTGCATGACATTGTTATTTCCAGTTTGTAAGACATTTAAGTCACGATTTACTGGCTATTAAGCAGCTTTTATAAACTTTAAATTGTGTGATAATTCGTTAATTGTATAGCACCTAAGATGATTAGAGCATATAAAAACGACGGATGTCACTTATATGCATTTAAGAGCATCATTAGTGATGAGATTTTAATTTATTTTATCAGTTTTCTAATTCGCCATGGCTGTTAAGCAAATGAGTATGAATTGTTCATACACATCCATATTTTCGTTTCAGGTTAATACTCCTCGTTTAATTTTAACGTTTCGATTCAGACCTTCAGTTTCAGTGGTGATGTTACTTTTGACTGCATGGTTGGAATAGTTTGCATATCTAGAAAGAAACAAAATTGAACGTTTGTTTTAATCTCGCCTGCAACCTAACAATGTTATAAATATATTTTTATTCATGAATTTATCATTTGCTGTCAAAATTATTTTCCTTTGTTTGATAAACACTGCAAGCTTTGATGAGTTCATGCTCTATAAGACATTTTTGTTTTATTGACTGATTTTTCATACAGTTTGGTTCCCTCCGTTTCTTTTTAAACTTGTAAAATATACAAATAAATAAGGCAAAAGAAGATTCTCATATTAAACTGTAAAACCTTATTTCGAATTCAATTGATCATTATTTATTTTCAAAATGAATTATGCGTGTAAACACTTGTGCATAATAATTGCTATAACACGTTCAATTTGCGTTCAGTCAGAAATTTATTTTTAATCTCC